GCCGCCTATATGTAAAATTTTGTCAGAAACAATTTTACTTAGGCGACCAAAGTAGGTTAACTTAATAAAATAAAGAGCAAAGTGCAATTGTTTTTAGAGAGAATTTGGTACAAGTGATTGTCGGAAAGAGTTAGTGATTTGCGTCCCTACATATATGAGAGAGCATTGGTATTAGAGGTTAATAATAGAAATATCACAGAACCTGTAGCAGATTTAGACGTTAATTCATTTTATCCAAATGCTATAATTCAAATGAATATATGTTTATCTACATTAGTAACAGATGAATCCGAAAACACCACATTAAACATTGTTCAAGATAATAGAATAATCTATAGAAAATTTAAACCACATTATAATAACGAAGAAAAAATAGGAATAATGCCATTAATGTGTAAAAAATTATTAGAAGAGTGAGCAGTTGCAAAAAAAAAAATAAAAGAATTTAAAAAAGATACAATATTATTAGCATATTGGACATCATTGTTTAATGCATTAAAAACTGTGGCAAATGCTATATATGGTTGTAGTAGATCTAGATTTTCTCTATTATTTAAGAAACCAGTAGCTTCATCAGTAACTGCTTTCTGTTGGTCTACACTCAAAGAGATTATAGATTATTTGAAAAGTTTAGGGTATATAATAATTTATGGTGATACAAATTCAATATTTTATATAATTCTAATAGATTATTTAAAAAATTTAATATCTAATAAAGAAAAGATTAAACGAACAATAGAAATTTTCAAAAAACTCAAAAAACAAGTTAATGAATATTTAATATTACAAAGAAAAATTTTTATTAGAATATCATATGAAAAAAACTTTATATTCTTGTGTTTTTTTAAAAAAAAACATTATTGTGGTTGTAAATATGAACATGAGCCTGAACTTGATAACTCTAAATTATTTTTAAAAGGTTTAAAAGTAAAAAAACGAAATACATCAGAATTTAATAAACAAATTGGAAAGAAAATGATTTGGAGGATATTAGGATTTAATGAAAAAAAATAATTGGTTGATAACACTCAAGATCTTAAACAGGTTATTTTAGATATTATAAAAAAATATATTCAAATGAAATATGATATTAACTTATTTACATTAAACGCGAATTATAAATCATCTACTGATATTGGAGCATGAGATTTTATTATTAAAAAAGACAACAAAAAAAAATTAATCTAAGTAAAATAAAACAAAAAATAAAATCAAAAAAAGGAAATATAATGGTACTTGATTTTGTTCAAAAAAGAATTGATAATAGTAAAACAATGACACTAGAAAGATTTTTATTATGTTTTAGATCTTGATTATAAAAATATAGGGTATAAAATTTGTTTAGTTAATAAATTCGATCCTAACAAACATAAGATAGATTTACTTTATTATCTAAAAAGTTCAAAGGATTTATGTGAAAGTTTTTTTTTATGTAAAAAAAAAGAGATGCTAAAAAAATAATAATTTCTTTGTATAAAGAAATTACTGATAAATTAGATCAAACTAAGATAAATAATAATTTAAATATTAGTTCTATTGTAGAAAAAGGAAGTAGTAAGAATTACTTTAAACAAAAGAAAGAAAAAAATCAAGAACCAAGAAAAAAAGCAAAAGTAGATAGTAAAATCACAGATTTTTTTCTGAAAACTAACTAATCAGTATATAAATACCGATTAGTTTATTAATTAGTTAATTATAAAATAGAAAAAACAAATATTTTTCATTTACTGCTTGAAACACTTCATGAAATATTTTTTTTTTTAACTCCTGAAAAGATAACTTTTTTAGAAAAAAACTTTATTCAATTAAAATTTGTATCGAAAACTTTTTATATTATATACCATGATATTATCAGAAAAAAAGTCAAAACAAAATATGAATTAATTCAGTAATATAATCTATACACACATGCCCCTCCAGAAACAGTACTATGGAAACTACATTATACAAAAAAAAATACTTGGGTTGATTTTGAATTTGAAAGAAAATGGTACTATCATCATTTACAACAGAATAGAAACAACCAATTTTTTGTTGATATACAAAGAATTGGTGGTAAATATTTTAATTTTATTACTCAGGAGGATAGAAAAAAATATAAAAAAATTTGTAGAAAATGTGCTGCCAAAACATATTATGCTAATTACGATTTTAATTTATTTAGAGATTCTAACTATGATGCTCAATTAAGAAGTTTAAGAGGTAGTCATTATATTTGGGAAAATTTTGTTAATTATTT